CAAGTTTCTTCACACAACCACACACAGCTGGCACTGCACACAACCTATAGGTCACAGCCAGGTTGGGTAAGGCCCTGGGCAGCCTGATCGAGTGCCTGATTTAGTGGCTGGAAACCTTGCTTGCTGCAGATGGGCTGGAACTAAATAATCTTTGAGATCACTTCCAACCCAAGACATTCTGTAATGATTCTATGATAGAGGTGGATGAAGGGGACCATGTTACAACCAGAGCAGGCCACTTCCACTGCCATCTAACTCAGCGTAAATTAAATATACACTATGGGCAACAAATAACAATAGGGAAAACATTTTGAAAAAAAGTGAAGAAAGACACAGACAAAACTCTGCACATGAAGTTCCTATTCAGCAGAAGCATATTAAAAAATACCTCCTACAAAGTGCTCACCTTCAGAGACTCAGTAAAAGCTCAGACTGCCACTACTTGCCATGCTATATCACTGCCTCAGTCTGATAAGTATCAGCATCAATATCAGCTGTGTGGAAGTAATATGAATATGTTCATTAAGCATCACAGCTCCACTCATTTCCCTCACAACTTCAGTGAGGATGTGCCCATTGGTGCGTGATGCAGCTATGCTCCCCAGCATCACAGTCAAAAGAAAAGCAGTGAGGCTGTCACAGTACAAGTTCTTCTAAATTTCCCTGTCAGAAAATCATCCTTATACATAATGCTGGAAGACACATTTGCTCATACCTGGATGATGAAAAGTAAAATCCTTAGTTCAGCATTTCTGGCAAGTTACAAATCAATTTGCTTCCCATACACATTTCGTTGTGCTTATTTGTGTCATTGCCTCACAGTCAGTAATTGCTTAACAACTGTTATCCACATTTCCCATGAACAGAGAGATTAAACAAAACAGAGGCAATATCCCAGCTCAACAGAGCACTTGCATATAAATGTTCCTAGAGGAATGACGCCTTCTCTTCAGTATACGCTTTCACACTTCAGCAAACCAAAGGCCCACTTAGTAAAACCTTATTAACAAAATGATCAAACAGTTGCTTTAAATAAAAGATAACGTCTCCAAAACTTTGCATACATACATATGCAATAGCAATTACAGTATTTACAAAGGAGTCAGCGTGCATCCCATGGAAAGTCAATGTGAATAAAAGATATTTGGACTATGGTCAGCCAACATTTGCTGGCCACAATGTCACCAGTGACAAAGCACTGCAGAAATGTGAGAATAAAACACAATTATCACCTTGAGAGGGAAAATAAAGAAACAACCACACAGAGCAAAATAAATGTTGTTTTCACACAGCTGTCCTTTCTACTTTCCCTCCGAGAATCTGGGAGTTCACAACCATCCCCCCCAAAAAAATAAAAAAATAAAAACCAAACAGTACGAAACCAGGAATTCTCAGAGGTGATCTGATCTCCCCCTACCCCCACCCCACACACACAGAAAACCCACCCAAAAAAAGAACAGAAAAGTCAAGAATTCGTTGCAATTCACCTGGCCCAGGGATAATCTACCTACAGCTCAGTCTTGAGAGGGTGCCCTGTGCAAGGCTGCTAAAGGCTGCCAGCTGGTGGTGTGTCCAGCACAGGAACTGCCTGCGAGTTCCACACAGAAACCCCCAAACTACTGCCCAGAAGCTGCACGTGGAACATGACAGCTTTTCCCGTGGCTCCCACACAAGCTTCAATCAATCAGTCTGTAGGGTCTGGGTGTTCTCCTAGCTGCTGATGCAGTGTCCCTGTGGCACGTTCAGGAACCAAAGCGCAGAGCTGTGCTTGTCACATTCTGCGTTTGCAGGCCTTATTCCCTCCATACAGGAACCCAAACCAGACACTTGTACCTATCTCAAAGTCCACAGAAGCAGCCCACAAGCCATCAGACTAAAAACTGCTGAATTGAGTCTAATTATAAAAAAAACGGGTAAGCCTCTAGACCCTTTCTAGCCTTTAACTATTCTTACACTCAAAAAAAGTTATCGCACAGCAGCATTTAGATCTTCAGTTCTCCCAAAAGCTGTTTTTCAAGTACTTAGCGTTATCTTTTAGGCTGCTAAATCCCCTAGATCACACTATCCACACAGCTGGCAAACCAGACTCCACCTTCTCTCCTTCAGGAAAGCTTCCACCCGTGAGCAGAAATTGGCCAAAAGGTACTTCTGCAGGCAGCTGGCAATCAGGGACTCCTACCACGTCCCAGGCCATGCAAAAACCAAGGGACTGCAGGTGCTGCCACACAGACACCTCTCATGTGCTGCAGCTATCAGATTTGCAGCACACCATTTAAGCACTCAGTGCTACCTTCCAGACCAACACGATCATCCAGCTTCAGGTCTTACAGATCTTATCAATTTAAATTCCTTTTAGTTTTCTTTCCATTCATAACACCTGTTCCTTAACTCCATCTCCAGTGTCTTTCTTGCTAAGCAGCAAAAAAAAAAAAATTCTCCATTTTCCCCCAGCTTTGCCTACAAACTTCACACGGCCAAAACAACACATTGTTCACACGAGGAGCTTCAAAAAACACAATTTTGATTCTTTATTTTCTGCCAGGTTAACAGTTCACTCCCACAAAACAGAACAACCTCCTCAATTCCCAGCGTATGTTTTGAACTGTTCCAAACTGGAAAACAGTGAAATACAGAATACCACACCTAACCAGAAACTTACATATGGCTCCATCATTCCACCACTCACCCTCTTGATCAGGGGACTCTCTTTATACCTGACTCTTTAACCACCCACAAAATCTCAGCATAGAGAATACATCTGCATTCAGAATCCAGGATGATCCCCCCACAAAAGTATACGCGTTTGGCAGCAATTTATGATTTAGTTCTGCATTCACACAGCTCTCCCTCCACAACACTCCCCAGCACTGTGCTGAGCAGCTGTTAGTTGGGCAATCCACTTCACCTGTTACAGCAGCAATTTTTTTTCTTAAAGGCAAGGTTCACCCATTGGAGGGATTCACTTCAGCAAGTTCCAACACGTTAAGCATTATCAAAACACAGATCAAAAGCTGTTTCTGCTCCACAGTTTAGAAAGCAAAAGTAACCCTTAAGAGCCCAAGAAAGAAAATATAGCTTTTGTTATAATCAAAAAGCGGTCAGCAGAAGCCTACATTGAACCTAAACCAAGTTCTTCACTGTGTAGCTTTAATTCCTTTAGCACTGTGTAGAAATTGGACAGATCAGTACGACGGGAAAGGCATTACAACAAAAATTTGACAACAGAAGGTTCAGCATGACAGAAGGATGCTACTAAGGAAGGAAGAAGAATGCTTACCCATATCAGAAGATTCTAAGTTCACAGGAGAAAGCTTCACCAAGAAGAAATCTCCAGAAAGACAACCTTCCCCACCGGGCACCAGCCCTTCAGTGAGACCTAAGAGAGGTGCAGCCAGGCTCCACCCCTGCTGGTCACACAGCTGAATTGCCTTCACCTGTGCTCCCAGCACTGACCGGGTCCTTTCCCAGGTGCTCAATCAGTGGGTCAGGCCGTGACTCAACAGTTACCATAGTACTGGAATACTGGAAAAGCCACACATGGTAGCATAACAGGGTGGAATAATGCAGTCAGGAACAAGAGGGACACAAACAGGCCTGGAAAGGTAACAAACTATGCTTCAAGGTTCACCTATGCTGGTGAGATGCTGTGTATAGAAGCACAGAAAAAGAAAACAAAACAAACCACACAACAGAGAGGTAAGGATATAGGAGTGGTAAGGAGAAAGAGATATAAGGCCTGAAAGTGTCATACACCTGTACAGCATGCAATCTGAGCTTTGCTACAAGGGTAGCTACAGCAAAAAAACACATTCATGTCCCTGCAGACATTAGAGTGAGGTATGTAGGTGTTCAGGTGCACGGCTGGTCTTGAAATCGAGTTGCAGAAAGCAAGAGGAGGCTGCAATGGCAGCAGGCTGCAAGGCATGTGGCAAAGTTAATTGCAGGCACTGGAGTATCTGATATGAACACTGGAATACATATGAAAGGGAATGGGTTGCATAGAGATGTTCTTATGAGAGTGGAGTCTCAGAGAAGGAAAAAACATACAGCTGGTGAGAAGCCAATAAATAATTGAAACAAGAAACCAGAGAGAGGAAAGGGTATGGGGAAGAGGTATCACAGATGAGGAACAGATTACACAATTTAAAAAAATGCCACATACAAAATTAGCAGCAGTTCTGCCTGCCAAACCACATTCCCAGGGAAAGGACTGTGCCACGAGGATTACCTGAGAGCTCACAGAGCATTAGGGAAAGAGTATCTGCCTACTAGAAAAGTGCTATTGGTGGCATTAGCTGCTTTATGCGCTCAATAAGTGGCAGAGACTTTCAGCCCTCTTTCTCAATGTGAGCTTTTTGAATGACTCACATCTTGGTTTCTGGCGACATGTGCAGTATGTACACACCCAGGGAAAGCCATGCACACGCAGCTGTCCTGTATGCACTGCTGCTGGAGCATCTCAGAAGGTAGGTTATACCAGGCTACACAAGGGATCTGAGGTTTGTTTCTTAAAGCTAAAATAAACTCACAGCAGGATTTGAATACGCTAGATACGGAATATCACTGAGAAACACTTCTCATTTGTGTTCTGTATATTTCAAAATTCATAATAAAAGGCAGAAAATGTTACTGTAAGGAAGATTTGTTTTTTATCTTCAAAGAACAGCTAAGTCTGTAAAATACATAGGACTTATTTTCTCCAAGAAAACCAGAGGCAATCTTTTAATTTACAGTACCAGACTATGAAAAAATAGCATTCCAAGGTTTGAAAGCACTGTACAAAAATAAGGAAAAACACCAAAACCTTTAATAAAAATACTGAAGTGTTCAGATTAACTTAATCTCTTGAAGTGCTTTGCAGTAGTCTCCAAATATGAAACAGCAGAATCCCTTAAAGCACAAACAGAATTAAGTTAGGTAAAAACTTCATGTTCTTTTCTATTTACAGCACAGTGGCAGAAAGCGTTACTGGAAGCTACGGGCATAGAAACAAGTTCTCATGATAGGAAGAAAATGATCACAAATTTATTGTAGTCATTTGGATGTGCACTGTCACCATATGGTAAAAGACAGATGACCTTCATAGACTATGCCTCAATAGAGGTACCTCACATTTATACAAAGAAGAGATTTCATAAATATTGTTTCCACCCAGCAGCTCATAGGCACCTTAGCTAACTTTACAGACTTGGATTATGAGGCTCTTTACACTTACATTTCCCAGCAAAAGAAACCTTCTCTTGTAGATGATTCATCATAGCTTGGAAAAGGAGCTCACTTCACTGTAGTTGAAAACTGTTGGGCTTTCCGCAAGGATTAAATGCCACAAGTGTTCCAAAACCAGTCTCCAAATAATACTGGGCTTATCACTTAATAAACCTCACAAGTACAAGCATTATTATGAACCCTTCCCATAGCTGTAATGTTAAAATGTTCAGAAACAACTAATTAGATCAATATTCACGTTGGGGTTTTAAGAAGTATTGCATAAGGATCAGTTACGTGGCTCATTCTCTGACACCCCTTCCCGAATTCAGTCATCTGCTGAAAAATCATCTTCATCTCTCACTTCTCTGTACTGCATTGCAGCCTCCCCCTCTGGTTCAAAGCTGGTCATTTTTATATTCAACCTCTCCGCAAGCTTCTGTGCTGCAAGTTTGGCTTGCATTTCCTATTAAAAAAAAGACACAAGTTAGAAAAATTGTTTTCGTCATTTTTATCCAGGTTGCAAAAGACCCAACCAACCAAAGAACCTTGACACAATAAAATATTGGTAACTCCAGACTGGATTTAATTAAAATATCTAGTAACTAATGAAAAAAAGATAAATTTATTTACATTTAATACCTAACTGCTCTGTTAGTATTTGAAGACAGCTTTGTTTTTTTAGTTGAAGACCTGAAATTCCCCCTCTGACAGTTCCCATCTCACTTCTGCCAGAACAAAATCAGTCTACATATCAGCCTTCTACGTAACCAATACCAATAGCAATGCTATTCATTCAGCAACTCAGCAATTCAGCAAAAAAGTCCTTCATTTTACAAATAAATTAGCTTCCTTCAAGTGTCAAAGACAAAATTAGCAAAGTGCTTGTAAAATAGTAATTAGCAACAAACACTTTTACAGTAGCACCTAGTTTAAAACATTAGCTCTGTATCAGTTGGGAAGTCAAAATGGAAATCCATTACAAAAGAATTTAGCAAGCAATTTCCTTAAAGAACTTCACAACTTGGCACAGAATAAACTAAGCCAACGGCAGTTACTTGTGTGTCTTAAGATCACTGAATACCACAAGGCCTTCATTTATGGAAGGGCCAAAAAATGAATTAAAAGCTAATAGACGAGATCCATACTTTTATTTCTAGTCAGAGATGAAAAGATCGTAATGAAGTTAGCATAACTGCACAGAAGAACAACACTAGATGTTGTTTAGTGCAGGAACAGCCATTTCAGAAGAGTTTCACACATTGTTGAATCACATCATTAAGAGACTCAAATACAGTCTTCTCAAAGTCTGGCAATCTCAATTTTATTATCAGATTCAAAAGTATCAAAGGATGTCTTTATGCTTTCTTCCTGTTTTGGTGAGTTTTTTGGTAAGGGTTGTAGTAATTAAATAATTATTTTTCCAGATAAATCAGAAATTCTTACCTCATAAGCTTCTTTTTGCTGTATCTGAATTGCTATGGACTCCTCGATAGACAACAGCTTAGCAGGGGAGTGGTGAAGTGGTGGTAGCCGAGCTGCTGTGACGTCATTCAAATGTTTCTTATCTCTAAGTCTTCTTTCTTCAGCAGTAATTGGAGAGCCAGATCCCCCAGGTGACTGACTGGGTGAGGAACCACGCGATGATCCGCTCTGCTCTCCTGATAACCTGCAAGTGATCAAACACAGAGGTTGTAACCAACATTTGAAACACACAGCTCAGAACTTCAGCTCTAAAATTTAATTTCAACACGTAAGGGTACAAAAGTAGAAAGAGCATCTGAAGTGTAATGACACCGTTCTCAAATAAACAAGCATAGGATCACAGAGGCTGGGAATGACCTCTAAGATTATCTAGTCCAACTGTCTGCCTATTACCAACATTGCCCACTAAGCCACGTCCCTCAGTACTACACCTACCCTTTACTGTTTCAGCTCCAGAGAAAACCAGAAATATTAGCATTCTCCTCACCTAGTAGGATACAGCTTCTCTACATAGAAACAGTGTCACAATTGTTCCTCGCAGCAGACAAAAAATGAACACCAATTAATAGGCAACCACAAAACAGCAACGCTTTGGGAGTCAAGAGAAACAGAAATTGTTATTATTGCCAATACTCACAACAAGAATTGCAGATTCACAAAGATGCAGGAAAAGCAAAGGGCCACTTGTTGTTGAAATTTTACAAGTTCTAGAATTAATCCAGAAGAAAGTTCTACCACATGTCCAATAGTTTTATAGCTTAAGCTATGAAATTTTATGAAGATTACGACTTCTTTTTTTCAAACTGGTAGATTCAGACCACCACTCAGCACTGAGATTCTGCAGTACTTAACAAAAGAGCCAATATATTAGCACAGCATGTCACGTGACTTTAAATCTCCTAATTCACCAGGAGAAAATAAACCAACCTTGCTTTTTCTGCAACATTTTCAATCTTAAACAAGTTGATTATTCCTGTCTAGAACAGATTCCTGTATTCCGTAATACTTACGCATTTGTTTTGAATTTGCTTTTTTTTATGACAGGGTTTTTTGCTCTGGACTCCAGAACTTCAATATAATGTGGTGTCCTGGGGTGCAGGCTTCCAAAAATATTGCCCTTATGTTTAGACACATTCTGCTCTTTTTCCAATACTTTCTCACTATTATCCCCATCTCCAATGGTAACTTTTTGAAAAGCATCAACCAATGTGTCATTACAGTTGTCTAAAGCACTTTCTGTGCCACCCTCAGTATTGTTCCGAGAGATCTGCTGATCACTGTTCAGGTGACTGCTTGGGGCTGATTGGGAAATAGCTTCACAACAGAGATTCTGATCTTTTATGACAGTCCTTATTTCATCATTTTTGCTCTGAGTCCTCTGATTTTCCAAAGCCATGCTTATGGTATCGTGCCCCAAACATTCTCCCTTCTGTCCTTGGGAAGCAGTCTTAGGAACTTCTTCAGCACGAGAATTGGCACTGAGGACTGGGGGCTCCTTCTGGTGCAGCGCATGTTCGCCCAGTGCGATGTGCTGGTTGCTGGTATGAGCCTTGTCCTGTTCTGCCTGGAACTCCAGCCTGACCGCGGACAACAGCTCTGCAGTCCGTGCCAGCTCTTCCTCTTGTGAGATGGCACGCATCAGCTTCTCTGCAAAATCGGAGATCTTCTTGCCCTTATCTGGAAGCTTATCGATGAACTTCCTAAAGTGGTAAAAAACAATTAAAAAAAAATAACAACACGAGTTGTTTAACCGTGTCTGAGCAATGCTATTTCATTCTGGCACACAAAGCTGTTCTACCAGAGCAGCTATCCCAGGCCTCAGTTCTGCCAGCAAGCATCTTCCCCTACTGCGAGACTTCTGAACGCTGCTAATCCAGACGCAGAGCACCGACAGCCTCGGCCGCTCACACCGACGAGGCTCTCACCCCCTCCTTCCCACCCACGCGCTGCTGTCAGGCTCGCACCCGCCATCTCTCCGCGTTCCCATGCGGCTGGCACGCGGACGGCTCCCAGCACCAACTCCGCACCGCGACAGCGAACGCTCGCAGCGGCAGAACCGTGCTGGCCCCACCCCACCAGAGCGGACAGAAGGCGGAGAACAGCCGCCCCGCCGGCACCGCGGGCCGCGACCCCGGTTCCTTCGCTCAGCCCAGCGGACACACGGGAGCGCTTTCGCCGCCGACGCCCGCGCGGAACGTGACGCAGACGGCCCCGAGGGGAGCCGTGCTTACTGGTCCGCCAGCAGCCGCTCCTGCCGCCTCAGCATCTCCCGCAGCTCGGGGAGGCTCCGGCCCCGCAGGGAGCCCGCCGCCGCCATGCCGTTCCGGCCCCAAGCCGCCTCTCCGCGGGGCGGCCGCGCGGGCCCGGCGCCACCGGCACCGCTTCCGCAGCTCCGTGGGAGCCGCCATCTTACCGGAAGTGACGGCGGCCGGCGGGGCCCGACGGGGGGCGCTGCGGCGGCTCGGCCGGGGCGGTGCGGTGAGCCCTGCGGGTGCGGCGATAAGCTGCTGGGGGGGCTGTGCTGCAGTCGGACTGGGTGATCTCAGCGCTCATGTCCAATCATTCTGTGATTGCCTTGGCTGAGGGGCCTCTAGCAGAGCCCAAATTCCTGTTGAGGTCTCAGCGTTCAGCTTTCCAGAGATTCTGAATGGTGCCATTGACCTGGGAATCCCAGGCATCCATGCAGACTGGAAGGAGCGGTCTTGAGAGCAGTCCTGCAGAGAAGGACCTGGGGGTCTTGATGGATGAAAAGCTGAACGTGTGTGCTCTTGCTGCTCAGAAGACAAATGGTATCCTGGGCTCCATCAGAAGAGCGGTGGCCAGCAGGAGCAGGGAGGTGATTGTCCCCCTCTGCTCTTGTGAGGCCCCACGTGCAGTACGGTGTCCAGTACTGTGGAGACCCCAGTACAAGAAAGACAGGGAGCTGTTGGAGAGGGTCCAGAGGAGAGCCACAAAGATGATCAGGGAACTGGAGCACCTCCCCTGTGAGGACAGGCTGAGTGAGCTGGGCTTGTTCAGCCTGGAGAAAAGAAGGCTGCGGGGTGACCTCATTGCAGCCTTTCAGTACCTAAAGGGAGCCTGCAAACAGGAGGGGAATCAACTCTTTTAAAGGGTAGATAACTGCAGGACAAGGGGAAATGGTTTTAAGTTCAGAGAGGGAAGATTTAGGTTGGATGTCAGGGGGAAGTTCTTTACTAGGAGAGTGGTGAGGTGCTGGAACAGGCTGCCCAGAGAGGCTGTGGATGCCCCATCCCTGGAGGTGTTCAAGGCCAGGTTGGATGAGGCCCTGGGCAGCCTGGTCTCGCATTAAATGGGGAGGTTGGTGGCCCTGCATGTGGCAGAGGGGTTGGAGGTTCATGATCCTTGAGGTCCCGTACAACCCTGGCCATTCTGTGATTCGTTACAGTTTCTCTTTTGACACCGCACTTATATTTACAGGTGCTAAACAGAGGCTGAATGTAGGAATGCAAACCTTAGCACAGTGTGCACACACTGCTTCAGGCCTTCATGGCCACAGAAGTGCTGAGTGCGGTGCTGAGCGCTGCCCAGCAGTACAGCCCGAGCTGTGTGCTCATTGCGGGGAGCTTTGGTGCAGCCCAGTCCCTTGGTGCAGCCCAGTCCCTTGGTGCACATAACGGGGAAGAATTGGATTTCTCACTGTTAAGCTGTTGTTGTATGAGCAGGATGACCGGCCGGCCCGCCCTGCAGGAGGAAACGTGTTGAGATGGCTGCGTGCCCCTCTGTTTGTACAGCTGGGAGGTGTGCGGAAGGGCTGAGGGCCCAGGGAAGTGAAAGGAGCCAGGTGGGCAGCTGCCATGGAAAAACAGCGTGGAGGGGTGAAAAAAGCCAAGTGCCTGGCTGCAGGGACCACCTCACTGCCTGTTACGTACAACTTGGATCATCTCCCACAGAAAATCCCGCAGGAAACTTTTCTCAAGAGCTCAGGAAAAAGGAAAACACTTTTTGTTGCCAGGAGATCACTTAATGTTGTCAAACACAAGTTTTCTGAATTGTAATGCCGTCTTGTTGTGCTGTCTGGCACTTGCAAGAAGGAATGCTGTAACTCAACGTTTAGCCTCTTTCTCCTGTGCAGATTCGAAAAAAAAAAGGTTGGGCTTGGAAACTGATTCTGCCTCTGTGTAAGTGGCAAAGGAATAATCTCACTAGTCTGCTGCTCTGCACTTAGGTGATGATGGCTCATCTCAGTCCAACTGCTGTAACTACATATGCAGAAAAGTAATTCTGGTGAGTTTCAGCCTATCTCCTCACCTGTGCAAACACAAAAAAAAATGAAACAAAAGATGAAGAGAATAAAGTATTCTAATAACAGGACTGTGGGAGTCATGACTGATAGTTTTGCTATCCTTACTTGGAACACCATTCTGCAGTCCTCATTTGTCCAAGGTCACTGGGAAGTTACATTGTTCATCTTTACAGTTGATGGGAGTTAAATTTTGGAATACCATCATCTGTTTTTGGATGACACACAGTTCCATAATGATGAACTGATGGCTAACATTTGACAGGTGCTAGAATGAAAGATTTCTCATTTATGAAACAAGGGGCAGCATCTAGATGCAATGCAATCTAGACCATCGATTTAGATTCAAATGCCAGGAAGGAAAAGTAGATGGATGCTTTCTCAGTCGATGAGAAGTAGAACGGAAAAATTACAAACTGTAGCCTTGTTTGTCCTGAGCAAGAAGAATCCTTACTAGCCACACTCTGAATGTCAGTAATCACCATCCAGCAGTAGCTAGTACAAGATTAGCCTTAGCACTTTGCTCTTTTCCTGTGGGAAACTCATACATCACCACTATTTGCAGTACTCAGCAATATTTTTTTTGTTTTCTCCAGATCATAAGTGGCCTTTTGATTTTAGGCTTTATTTTGTATCATTTATTCCAGCAGTCGATCAACACTCATGTGAGCTATGTATATAAAAAAAACTATTATTTGGGGTTTTTTTAATTATTTCCTATGTAAGAGTATGCTCTTAGGACATTATTTCAAGAGCTCTCATTAGGCACTGTTTTCAGACGGTCTGTTTTCTGTCACATAGTTAGAATTCAATTTATTCTACAATAGCATGCCTGTAATTAGTATGCAATTTAATGCTACGTCTATGAGAAAATTAAATCATTAGAATAGCAATGAAGAAAATCAAGTATATGAACAAAAGAATGAACTATGTGAAGAAAGCACAAAATGGGTATTCTAGTCAGACGGCATCTGAAGAGAGGTAGCCATGACTTTTTTACAGGTGGGAGAACTTCCTGTCAGAAGTACACAGGTCATAACTGGTCTTAAAGCTAACACTACCAAGAGCGTTACTTTATCTGGTAAGGGTATCATTTTCATTGTCCTTTTCTCCTATCTCCCATTTTAATAAATAGATCATTATGCTCTTCACTAAGAAATCCTAAGACTCAAGAAATTAGGCTCTGATGGGAGAAAACCTACTTTCTGTTTCCCTGCTCCTAGATGGAAATACTGGGGGCAAGCAAACTGGAATCAAGCCACATGCACAAAATAAACCACTCCTGACATAACAGAAAAAAAATTGTATGAATATTTAGGACTAAAATGATTTGTTTTCATTTCGTTAAAAACAATAAATCATTGTCATATGTCATTATAGTAATTTATCTTCCCATAACCTTATTTCTCTAAAACACTGCAAACAAAACCTACGCACTTCTGTACTTTTTTCAATCTCCAGGTCCCTTTTACTTTGGGGAGTTCTCACATACCTCAAGTTGTGGATGACTGCCACAACCTTGTCTTTTTCTGCATTTCTTCCCTGTTCTAGTGCTGAAGCTTAGGGTCAGAAGGGCCTTAGACTCATCAGGACTCTTCTTCTTTTACAAGTGTAAATATCTCCAAGAGCTGAATAGGAAGGAAATAGGATGCAAGTGGAATGAAACTGTCAGTGTGTGTCTCCATTCTATGGAGCAAGTATTTTCTGTACAGAATTACACACTTACTTCACACAATACTTCTTACCTGTTTGCTTATTTATCCACTTCTGAAAGCCTCCAGATGTCAAAATGAGGACTTAAAGCCTCTCCCAAAAACTTGAGAAAGCAACTCACAGCATCCTATTTTGTAGTACCACCACTGAGCATGATCTCAGTATGATTTTATGATGTTCTTATGTCAGTCTCTGCTGAAGAGACATACACGGGAAGATTAGTGAGATAAAAGCTTCACATTCTACAGTTGAGTACTGCAAACCACTAACACTGATTTTACTGATTCATTTGTAAGTGAGAATGTTATGTTGCCCACGTCTTGTTTATCCTCTGCAAGTCAATAGTTCTTTATTCTACAAAAGAGTTCGTCTACTTTTGTTACTTGGCTTTGAGAAGAGTCTTTAGTCTTTAGCTAGGGAGTGTCTTCCTGTCTCAAGAGCACATCTGCCAACAGAAACACTGACAAGGATTCCAGGCTGCAGAGCAACCACTTTTGCATTCATACATGTTTTGAACAAACAAGAATATGTAGAGTAAAACTTGCAAGGTTTTAAGGTAAGTTTATTTCTGAATATTTACACAACAGAATAGAAATTTTAAATACAGTATTTATTACAGTTCATCCTTTTCAAGTCTTACATACAGGATGTTTTAAAAGCATACAGTGTAATTGCACTATTTACACAGCGTATATGAAAACTGTATCCCAAAATACTTTCCAGAAGATCTGGAATAAATCACAGAATAACACTTACCGTGGTACAAATGAAGTCATACAATTGACTTATATTTGATGTACTTTCTGGAACCTACCTATATGGCTTTTATTGATGTTTACAGAAATTTTACTAGTTTCTAATGTTATAGTACTAAGCATTCCAATCTCAATTTGACAAAACTTGTACTGAAGTGTTAAAGTCTTTTCAGCCAGATTTGTTATTATCTCTGCTAATTTACATTGCTATTGATTTGACTGGAAAGCTCTATATTTTCATGTAACACAGTTATACAAATACTGTTCCTCTCCTGCTCTTCACAGCTACCAAATTTAGACCAATAGTTCAATCAAACAATGGTCATCCAACGCACTGAATATCAAAATACAATACAGCATAAATAGAGTTTACATGGAAAATTTGCGCGGGAAATATTTCTGCAGTCTGGGTGCAGTTTTGAGCAGATGATCACCATTTTGCAAGTCTCAAAGCTGAAGTATTTTCAGAGATATTCTCAGAAATATGTTAGAAGCAGAATGAAGTTCCTTTTGAAGTCTGAATCAAAACCTTCTGATATTTCACCCTGCTCTCCACTACTAAAGCCAGAGCATTTAGCTATGAGACTCTGTTTTCTGAACTCTGGCTCAAGCCAGACAGATCAATGAAGTATTTTTACTTAATTGCACTTTACGATTGATGTCTTTCTATCACAACAACTTGCATTTCCTCTTATCTATAAATAAAACCTTCATCAGTTAATCTGTTTTTGAACATAACTCACTAATCACAGTTCATAAATACATCCTGAAACCAGATTGTTTGGGCACATAAAATGGTGACAGGCTGATAATGAACTGAGGCTGCATCCATAACGGATATTGGCATGGCCCTTTGGGCATAGTCTTCAGTATTTTTCTCTTCAAACCACATTGTCCAATTAACAGCTAATAATTTTTGCTGCTATGAGCCACTAGAGGGAGATATGATTACACACATACAAACATTGTGCCTGAAATACCGGTTGGGCCATTACCCATCATCTTTTGTGCTCATCAGTAAACACTTCCATTTAAAATGTTTTTGTATTTAAAGTTCCACTTCAAGATCTTCATTGTACTCAACCTAATTAATTAGGTATTGATCAAATTAACTGTTATTTGGGAACTCAATCTCCCAAACACACTCAATCATGAAAACTTCAATCAAGAACACTCTATGTGGGGTTGAGGCTACAGCTCCTGCACCTATCAGCTGGTTTCTCATCTTTGATATTCCAGTATTTGGTATTCCTCTGCCTTGTACAATGAGGTGCTTTGCCTGAGGACCTTTTAAAGGGAGTAGAATTCTTAATTCTCAGGGACCTCCCTTTCAAGCCGTTTCCTTCTGCTCTGGGAGAAGCAACTCAAGTAAATGTGTGTTATAATTTCTATTCACTAAGGCAATAGCTATTTTTTTTCCCCTTTTGATATCTAGGAGTAATTATTCACTCCATCACATGCATACTAAACATGAGTTCCCATTTAGAGCTATTAAGTTAACTTGGTGAAACTTTGAATTTTTCTTTTTAAAAGTAATACTGAGCAACTGTTAATGTTTGTGACTTTTAGTCCAATAAAGATTACAGGCTTACCTCAACAGTAGATAGATTACGTTTTTGTCGGTGGCTTTGACTGCAGTATTTCTTGAATTCTACACATAAAATGATCCACAATACTGCATCTGACTTTTTAGGAAGAATGACCACTCTAAGTTCTCAAGAGTTGATCAGGTCATAAAGAAAAAAAAAATAGCTTACATGCAGATGGATGATGATCCAAGCATAAAAGCTGGCGAAGTTAGAGTTTCCCATTTTATTTTGCTTTTGCTTTAGTTACACCAAGCAATTTACATTTCTGTGAGGTACTTGTACTGCATCAAGACATCCTCCACTACAGACTTCTTTACTTAGTAGCTAAACAGCACAGTTAAAGAATAAACTAAGATTTTTAGCAATTTAAGAAAACCATGAAAGAATGCAGAAATAAGATTGGGATTATGAGTTAAATATTATTATTTTAAATACAATTTTGAGTATATTAATTGAACAGAGAGTACTGAATTTAAAAACTTGCATTAGACTGGAGATAAAAGCAATCATTTTATGCAGCCCTGCGGCAAGATGAACACCTCCTGGGGTTCATATTCAATACAGGAATTACACAAAACACTTGTTTGTTTTCTACAGCAGTTGCTGTAATAGAAAAAAACTTGCCACATTGATGGCAACAGGACTACAAAAAAATACTAAACTAAACTTATTTCAATAAAACTGGGAGATGAAAATAAAATGTGAAAACTAAGACTATATAAATAAATTCAGTTGTTAGATGCAGTCATTCTGCTGGTACTCTGAAGTTGGGGATAAGATTTTAAGTGTTTGTAGGGAATGAAAGCATACTCAAAATCAAAATAATCATTCAGGATAGTTATTGATGTGGGAATGGCAGGAACTGCAGAAGGTTACTGAAGGCAAAATGCTGTCCAGTGAGAATTCCTTCCTGTAATGCAAAAGCAATTTTAAAAAAGCAACGGGGATTTTCCTACCCCGTCACTAGTGAGTGTATCACCAATGGTCACTGTGCTCTGTGACTAGGAAGTACAAACCACATATTCAACCAATAAAGCAAAATCCATCGTAAAGCTGCTATATTGCTTAATATTTTGAGTGACAAACACAACACTCATCTGCATGCGTAGAGGGAATTTCCTGAGAACATCCCAGTTGCATTTCTCCCTCCCAGCAAGAGAATGCTTGTTCCTAGTCAACTTGTTCTGTGTGAATGGAGCCCTAAGTCACTGCAGGTCTCTATGGTAAGCATGAACAGCTCTCACTGTACACAAAGGAGGAGCTTTGAGATTAATGCCCCCTGCCAAGGTAGTTTTAGATTCTGTTTCTGGTAGTATTGAAAACAAAATAGAGATTCATCGTAAAAATGAAATTAGAACACATTTGAAGAAAATCTGTACAGCTATACAACCCCTTCCTTGTAGGTATTTGAAATGACACATTGCACTAGACAGCTTCTAAAGAAGCAATATAGACTGCTGTTTCATTCATCCCGCTTCTTGCCTATCTCCCTCACAGTTAATATCAGTAGTAACTTCAGATAGGAAGCTACTAAAAAGCTGCTTTCAGGATAAATTTAGCAAGACTCCATGCTGCTGTTCTTCTCTATGACTTGATAAAAATTTATCTAATCAAGCTGCAAAGGCGCAAAATACTTGTTTGTATTTAGAAAGCACATGGACTTGGATGCTCAAGAAGTACTGTTCTTTGTGCTATATTCCAACACTCTCTTGAATGGGGTGTATGTCCTCACTGGCCTTGTGCTTTCAGGAGATCTTCCGTTATCATTATTTGTACTGTTGAGGATACAAGAAAAATTGCAGGGTTAACGTCAGAGCATCAGACAACTGGGCTGAAAGTGACACTGCAGTAAACCTGTGCCTTGTTATTGATAGGCTAAAACTAAACTATTCAAAGTGTTTGGTATGTTCCATATTTATTTTATATAATGCTGCAAATAGTATTTGATAAAAAACATGCCATGCAAGTATCAACTGGAGCTCATATTGGAATATCCAGCAATACAGCTGCTTAACCTAAAGATCCTAAAGACCATAAAATCAAATGTAAGGACACAATTAACTGTGAAGTATAATACCATAAAATCTAAACAGTATAGAGGTCAAAGATAAATATAAAAACTAGGAAAAGCATCAGATGACTGGGGCTGTGGTTATGTGAAAGAGGGACCCAGAGGGGACAACAAAGATGTTGGTGTCCTGGGTGAAAAACAACAGTCTGTGACATTTCAGAGCCATTACAATATGCTTTAGGCAGAACACTGACATGAGTGTATTTTTAAACTAGAAAGGAAAATTTTAGTGTGCATTGCAGCTTTCTGATTTTATATGCTAATTTACATCAAACAAAATAATTCGATTTGCAGGGCAGTTGAGATGAACTAGTTTACCTGCTGGTAGTTAAAGTAATATACAGTGATCCTCCTTACCTTACTGTTTTGCCCTTCCTTGTGGTGATTTTCTTGGGGAGAGATTCAAGCCAAAGTTGATAGCATTGCTAACCAGGTCTCAGTGCAACCCTACTGCAGTGTTTGGAATTAAGGAAGGGAAGGTAGAGAAGGGAGGCCTAAACTTCACCCATTGTCAGAGAACAGAGAAAGGCATCCCAGTGTGCAAGTGATAATCTGTGCTGTTTACTTGGCAGTAGTCCACTTAGTGCTAGGACAGTTCCAAAAACTTCTGCAGTTCTAGACTGCTACTGTTGGTGTTACCTCCCCTTTAAAGTGGTCATTGATGCATCTTGTGGAATATAAACAATAAAGCATTCATGAAGCCAGCACTGAACAGGCTCAGGGCAGTGCTGACCGTTGTCTCCTGCTGTGGTGCTGGCAGACACAATTCATCAATATTTTCCACATTTCACAAAGTCAGATATCTTCACTTCTAGCTGTTCACATTACTGCAACTAAGCACCAAGGGTCTGTAATAAATTCGCATCTAAAACTGCTCAAGTCATTGAAGTACATTACATCTTGTATCTACCAGGTGCTCTTTGAAAATTAGGAATGTTTTGCAGAACTCTAACAGTGTACTAACATAGTGCTGATAAGGGACATTGTGAAGAAGTTTGCTATAAACAAGAAAATTGAAATACCTATATGGAAGATCACATCCTACACCAGCATCTCTGGTTTCTACATGGGTCTTTGGTTGATTTTCCATTAAATAGTCCAATTTATCTTGTAATTCTTTATTCTGGAAAACATTTTCAACACAAGTTTATTTTAGTTATGTTAATTAGCTATGTCAATTAAATGAGAAAATAAAATTCCAATCTGGCTTTTCTCTATAATAAATAATGTAAAAGTATTCACTGAGAAAATAAACACTCCTTATTTCTGGGGAATACAATAAATTAAATCAACCATCTTTTTTCAGCAGCTTCTGTTTTAAGAACTTATGACACTTATAAAATTGTATGATAACAAAGCTAACATGAAATTGTACATCTATTCCCACTCATTGGGTAGATAAAGCCATCACCTGGAGCATAGGTGTGGAAATACAGTGGCCCTCATAACCACCAAAACCCCAGGCTACCTAATACCCATTCTTCTTGTTATCTCCTGCTGCTTACTGGAACCTACTTCCCTCTCAGCCCCAGGAAGCTGAGAAACAACACGAACTTTGTCTCTATAATGGAAGTATCCAGACTTTATATTACAAACGTTCATCTTGTGACAGGTGTTTAATTTCAGCAAACTTTTGTTTACTGAAGAACAGCAAATATAAGAAGTAAACATGCATTTAAGCAGCATCAGGTGACACCAGATCCAATTTTATTGGATTTCAGAAAACAATCACAATTATATAAAGCCTTACCTCACATTCTAAGAAAGAAATCTTTTCTAAAAGCTGTATTATAAATAATTCCTTTTCTTTGACTTTCTTTCTTAGCATTTCAATCTGCGAAGAAAAATAAAGATATTTGGTCTAATGGGGTTGGGAAAAGGAGGAAGAAGACTTGATACTGCAGGAAGAAAAGATATTTGATTTTATTACATATTTATTAATATTGTTTGTTTGTATAAATATCATACATATATACCAACATGAATTTTACCTGCATTTAGCTGGAAGCAAAACGTAAACTCAAACACTGTCATGTAACAAAGCAAACTTGGGAAAAATCCATCTCTGATTTAATGGCCTTTGCTCTAAACAATTTTAACTAAACCCAAAATATGGCGCATATCTGATAGTTTCTTGAAGGTCTTATTCGTTCAGTTCTTTTCTGGCATACTAGACTCATTGAAAAAAAAAAAAGTGCATTTGCATTTTATACCTAGGGAAAGGAAAGCAGTTATTTACAAATGCTCATTGAAATTAAAATTAGCTGCACCAAAGCTATTGCATCGTAGTGCAGCTCTTTAGGGAAGAAAAGATGACCAGAGTATATTCTGGGATATTTGCTAATCAGTGTGTGGCACAATAAGATCTTCCACACTGAATCTGTCCTTGCTACCAGAGCAGGCAGGTAAGGCCAAAGAAATGGGGTATGCCCTGGGTTTCATAACAATCCCAAACCCCGAGCCCAAACTTGGTCTCCTTGCATGACAAGAATTAAAAGATCCATGCATGATAAAGAATAGGCGTTCATTTTTTATAAAACCTCCTGGGAAATAAGTTTGCTTTATTTTGTCAAGTTATTGTTTGGTTACGAGTTTCCCAAACTTAAGGGAAAAAGTAAAAAGCATTTTTAATAAAAACTCGGTGAATTTTACCAAAACGAAATCTTTTATGGGATAGCCAAGTTGAAATAAAGCAAAGCTCATAATAGTTTTTTGGGTTTTTTTCTCGCCTGGCAGTTACAATGTTACATTGATACACAACACAGTTTGACCATTTCCAAATGCTAGGCCAGATTTTCTACATACTCTCACCAATCACTAACTTTTTTTAAATTTTGTGAAAGCACATTAAAAAAGACCTTCCAAAATCCACCAGTGTAAAACTTTTGAGTGCATCTGGAAACAATGATTAGTAGAAATATTCTCATCCTGCTAAAAAAAAAAGAATTATAAAACACTCAAAAGTACATTACTTAAAACTCTCAGTACTACTCGGAGTAGCACTTTCACCCTCCCTCCCAAAAATCTATACAGTGCAACAAAAAGCAAAAAAGCAAAACAGATGCATCATTTAATCCAAAGTTATAAAATCACCAAATCAACTTTACTTCTGTCTTTGTAATTCCCAGTAATCCTTGACACAGTTATCAGTTATTACTGGAAAAAGGTAAAATGTAAGTGTGATGAAGTATGTGCGTTCAGCTGAAGTCGCAGAATATCTGAGTGCTGTCATCATCCATCTTTCTATCTTTCCCAAAATCAGATATTCAATTTCTTTTCTTTGAAGTGCATGCAAAAATCATCTATGTCATCTACAGGTATTTCTATTTCAGTCTTCTGATCACAGAAATCCAAAGCTTGTAGCATATTCAGAATTTCAGAGTGGCACAATGGTATCTCATTCTGATCTTCGTAATTAATTACAATTTTGTTTAGTACTATGACTAAATTAAGTCACTTGGTGAACAGCTTCAGACTTACCAGTAAATTCCACTTGAAAAAAGACAAACGGTTCTTTTAGAATTTTTAAGTGGATCTTCTCCATTAATATTTTATTCTACTACACAAGAAGTAGATAATTTTAACACCAGTAATCAATACAACGCAAAGTTGACTGAAGCCAAGTGCAGCTATGGGATCAGAGGAGGGTTTTGTCCAGTTCTTTCTTTTGAATGTAATACAGCCCATTCTGCTTTTAAAGGAAGACTGATAAATTGCTTCCTCCTCTTCCCAAACACAAACCCCAACTCCAAAAAGACATGTTGTTGTTTTGCAGGTATGCTACTGCTTTTACTCTTCTTCTGGTGAAAATCCTCTGAGGAGTGGCAGAATTGGCAACAGAACTCCCTGCCTCCTTTTGATGTATTTATACAACATCAGTCAGAACCCACTACATCAATGTATTTTGGCGTTCTAAAGAATTTTAAAATATGCCTTCTCTTTCTAACATATTAAGGAGAGCCAACATTGTGCTACATTATCACACACAAACATATTCTAGCAGTAAAACAGAATGGAGTGATAAGACTATGTAGATTGCAGATACGATAAGGCTCTAAATTAAGTAGTTTATATAAAACCTTTTGGTGGATCTTTACAGCATTGTGAAATCAGTCCAAGACAGCTGTACAAATCAAACATATTTCATGGGAATAAATTCAGCAGTTGTTAAAATTGGAGGGGCTCTTTTAGGGCCAGGAAAACAACAGTACTTGAGCCTCCTCCCCAGATTCAGCAGAGTGATTCTGTGAGGCCACTGCAGAAGGAATGCAGGGAAGAACACTGCAGGGCACCCCTTTTACATATAGGCACACTGCAGCCCCCAGCACTAGTTGTCTCAGCGCTACTGCTGACCAAGGGCTAAAACAACTCCCAACAAATTTTTGATGCACCATTAAGCCTACCCACAGACTTGACGTGGATGACACATCCCACCAGAGTAGTTTACTATAAAAGTTTATTTACTGAATAAAAATAAGAGCACACATTGCGTCCTGTCATTAGCATAGGGATGACCAAGAGTGAATAAGCCAGATTAGATTACACTTCAAGGTGGACATTCACTTACAGAAAAGCAGGAATAAGTTTTATATTTATAGTTTACATACTTATAAGGTTTATATTATCATATTACTGTATTAAATAAAGTCCATATTCAGTTAATTTAAATTAGACACATTGCATAAAGTAAAAGAGCGATAGTTTCCTTCTAGAGAGGAATGTAAGAGGAGCAGTGGCTCAAAATGATGATATTGGATAAAAGTTCTTCAAAAATAATATTAATGACTTAATACCTAATGGTATTTTGTTTTGTTTTCCATTAAAAAGATGTTAGTTATAGTAAACTAAACTTAAGATAATAATGCTTACAGCACTATTAATGTATATTGCACAAAACCAAGTCTTGAGAAGGTCTTTGATCCAAGGAGTGAGAGAAAAACTAACAGAGGACAGAGCAATAGATTTTGACTTTTCGTTGAACATAAAGTAAAGACAAAGAAAGGAGAAGCAGGATAGTTCAAACACAATATTGAACTAAGGGCCCAAGTGGTGGCCAGGGCAGTCTAGCATTAGAAACAAAGTTAGTACAAGTCAAAGACTGAACTTCCTTGGACTGACTCATTGCTGGACTGACTCCAGTCCAAAAATATCACCAAGATCTTCCTATGTTTTCTATGAGCAATACCCAAAGCCTATAACCCACCTCATCCTTGCTGTGTCTGCAGACTTTAGCATTTCAGCTCCCTGCCAATTCAGCAACTTGATCCCAAATCTGGGTTTTGCAAAACTTCCCTCTCAGATTTCGCCATCTTTTTCTACAAGCACTACAGAAGTATATCCTTCGGTGTCTCTCCTTCCAATCTTGTCTACTGCTCAGACTCTTCCCTAGCACTGTTCTTCCTTGCCTTGCACTGCAAGATTCACTAGCCATTCTTTTCCCTCCAATTCTCCACCAGTATTTCTTCACATTCACAGTAAGCAATTAAACAAAATTTCCTTAACAACATAATTTGTATTAATGACTCAACCATTCCTTTGGAGACAACTGTCCTAACAGTATAATTACGAACTTAGCAATCCTGGGATACGCCATCAACCTTTGATCTTTCACTTCATTCCCTCTTAGCAAACCTACTCAACTGCAATTTATTTGCTCTTGCCTTTCCTTTTCATGTTGGGTGACTGCTGACTATTCCAGAAATTGGGAAGGGAACAGCAACAAGGCCCAAATGACAGTATTGTAACTTACCTGGTCTTCTAAGGACTGAGTGGCTCCATGTGCTTTTCAGCAATACCTTTGCCAACCCCATTTCAATTCCCCCAAACTTGGCACAGGAAAGAAGGGCACCTGATCTCTCTCAGTCATGGCCAGATCCATAAAAATCCATGCAGATTGTGTTAGGTATACAGCTCACATTACACATACCCAGTGCAACTTACAGTGATGTGAATCAGTACATTAAGACCCCATGGGCAATGTGAATGTTGCTGAATTTATCTAATAGCTGAGAAATATCACCATAGCACTTTTTCTCCAAGCTCCCCCCACTCTTTATTATAGTCCTACTGCTGTTACAACCTCTGTATATTCTCCTTCTAAAACCTCAAGGTCACATTGCTCAAACTCCCCCAGATTCCAGACAGTAAGCTTTTCTTACAGTACCTCCCAGAAAATTCAATTCTTGTCCACCCTATCAATGAAGATATAATTATTTCTCACTATAGAACAGGTTTGTCACTATATATCTCCTCAAATACCAGATGAATTTGTCATGCTACAGAAAGGGCAGTGTAAATACTTTCTGGAATGAACAGCACATCTGAATTTCTCTTGCTCCATCAATCAGCTTCAGTAAAGATGGAAAATTTCATGGGTAGAACAACTAAGAACAGTCAAGAGGAGATTCATGAGACTTAAAAGGAAATTCTGGAGAAGTAAGCAGTGTTATTAGAAAGGAAATCAAGAGAATTACAAAGCAACTAAGAGATAAAGTACTGAAAGAGAGAATTCAAGTGTTCAGTCACAGAACATTGATAAAGTCTGAAATAGCAAACCTGATTTTATTCTGCATACTTACAGTACTAGAGGCTTGAAATATGCCTTATTGAATTATTGAATTAGAACAGATGCAGCTGTTAGGTAAATTCAACACTTACCACTTTATACTGCCAATCAATTTCAAATATTTCTCAGAACATGACAGTGCTATTACAGTTAAGTGTTAGATATTATTCAAGTATAGTGTATTTTCCTTATAACACTGATACAGAGACATTAACACACTGGTCATAAATATAACTAAGTACAGGACAAACACATATTACATTACATAA